AAACTCATATCCTCAGAAAGTTGAGATTTTAGAAGAAAGAAAATTGTTCACTTAGACAGGTTGCTTCTGAGTTATACTCTAGTATAAATTTAGTATTTATCTTATCTTTATTGTGATAATAAAATAGATTAAAAAAATCTTTATTTATACAAAAATATAATAATTTAGAGTATATATATAGATCTAACTAGCTGAAAGTATATTTGTAATTTACTTCTAATTAATAAAATAAAGATAGATTTGCTAAAGTAAAAAAAAAAATAAAACTAAAACTATATAAAGTAACAGTTATAGCAAAATAAAAAGAAATTAATACAGCCCAAACCCAACAATCAACAAAAGCTAAAGCTCAACGATCAACAAAAGCCCAAACCTAATGATCAAAAAAATACAAACCCAACGATCAAGAAAGTTCAAACCCAATAATCAATGAAAGCACAAACCTAATAATCAATGAAAGTACAAACCTAATGATCATCGTAATTCACAAGCTCAGTAACAAAAGCACCGTATTTGACTATTAACAAAGATAAAGCTAGTAGAAAAGAACAATCTAATTGTTTGAAAGGTGTGAGCTTACTAAGACAATAAATTTAATGATTTATTAAACCATATAAAGGTAAATTGTTTGCAAAAGAATAATATCTTGAGCTTCAAATTTTTATAATCAAATACTAACTAAAAAACTGTAAAATTATAAAGCTTTCAACAAGATAATAAATTTAGTAACCAAGTTTTAAAAAGGTAAATTTGAAATTTATGATATATTTTATTAAGAATAGATATAAGTAATGCTTTATTTTTATAATATAGATAGCAAATAACAAAGAAGTACCTCAGTTAAATGATGATTTAGCGACTATTAGTCTTGATAATGATTTAGTGGCTACTAGTCTTGATGATGATTTAGTGGCTGTTAGTCTTGATAATGAATTAGTAGTCGCTAGTTATGAAAATAATAAAAAAGATGATGAATATGCTAACTCTCAAGAAAAGCTCTATAAAGAAAGAGTATTCTAAAGTTGAGATGAAGCATATGATGCAATAAAATTGTATACAGGCTTAAAAAAGGTCACATTAAGAAAACTTCTGATGGTGCTACTCGTAAATGAATGATATTTTGTGAACATAGTAGCAAATATAAATTAAAGAACACCAAACAAGTTAGAGAATCAAGCACTAAGTATATATAGTGTAAATGGTATGTAAATTATTTACAACTAATAAAAAATAACCTAACAAAAACATTTATATTACTATTCTAAATAATAAATATAATTATGAATTGTCTTACAGAGTAGAATTCTTAAATGATAGTGAACTTACACAAAAAATGATCGAATAGGTAGAATTCTATATGAATATTATTAAACTAAAACCATTACAGATTCAAAAAGCTATACAAAAAGAATTTCCTGATCGTGAAATTTACCTTTTTAAAATCTATAAGATGGTAATGAAGTTTTATAATGAGAGACAAAAAGATATTACAAATGACGCTGTATTATTGTATGAAGATTTACTTAAAAAAAAGATAATGATCCTCATTGGTATGTTGCAATTGATTGGGATAGAGAGACATACAGTCTTCAGAGATTATTTTGGATGTCTCCCAAGCAGATAATTCTCTGGATAAAGTTTAGTAATATTATATTAAATGATAATATAGCCAAAACTAATCAATATGATATAGCACTTTCTCTTTTTTTGTATATTGATAACTATAGATCTTCTTGACTAGTTGGATATGCATTTATAGATGATGAATTTGTTAACTCTTATTGCTAGGTTTTGCATCAAACAAAAAAAGCTACAGGAGGTTGTGTACCCACTGTTATTATGACAGATACAGATCCAGTCTTGGATCTTGCAATATCTGAAGAGTATAAACAATCACATGCTATGTATTGTATTTTTCATATTGCTCAAAATCTTTCCAGAAATCGATTGGGTTAACAATATCATAAATTTATTAAAGACTTTTATACAGCCCGAAATATATTTATTGCAGAAGTTTTTAAACATAAATGGACATTGTTAATTCAGAAATATAATCAACCTAATGTGATTAGATATTTACAAACTTTATATTCATTAAAAAAAGTATGGGCACATGCATATACAGTAAAAATTTTTACTGCTGGTATTTAGACGATATCACAAGTTGAGAACCACAATACTCAAATCAAAAGATTAATTTTAAATTCTAATATTAGTCTTATTGAACATTCTGAAGTTTTAAAAAATTGCATAAATGAAGAATGTAAAAAGACAAAATATATTTATTAGAAAACTCAGCTTCCATTAATTATAATCGATTGGTTTCAAGCGATTATAATCAATAGTGGTGTTGATAATT